TTTAAGTTTTTAATCCCGGTTCCGGCCTGTAAAGCACTTTGTAACTCCTGTATAAATAAAGTTTATTATGATTATTATTATATCTTTATTAAGAACAGTCAGTGTAATATGTTAATTATTGTTAATTAATTAATTAAGTTTTGTTCCTGAAGCTTCATTTTGATCTTTTTGTCTTTAACTCTGAACTGTTTCAGTGCTGATCTGGGACGACGCTCGAGAGTCTCGAGACCCCAAAGACAAGCTGGTTCTGGAGTTCACCTTCACCAAACCGGTTCTCGCCGTTCGCATGAGGCACGACAAGTGAGTGGACCGCCAGCTCCCCCCCGCCTTTAGTTTGTACACGTGCAGCTACGTGAAATACAACCAGTGTTATATCAGTACGATGAGGTGTGGGGTGTGTGTGTGTGTGTGTGTGTGTGTGTGTGTGTGTGTGTGTGTGTGTGTGTCCTCCAGGATCATCATCGTGTTAAAGAACAGGATCTACGTTTACAGTTTCCCCGATAATCCCGTCAAACTGTTTGAGTTTGACACCAGAGACAACCCCAAAGGTAAAGAACATTTCACTGAACCCCTCCTGTCCTTACATATGCTACATGCTAGGCTAATCTGTGTTGAAAAGACAACCACCTGTTGAAAAAGTAACATTTTTACTTTGCTAATGTTAGCCAAGTGCTAGCTAACAAATAATTGATTAGCTTTAAGTAACTTAATGTGTCTCTTTTATCTTTTAACCATCTTCAAACTGTGGTTGTCTTTTCAACACAGGACAAGGTCAGGAAGGGTCAATTTAAAACCTTGATAACAAACTACTCTGTTTTTAACTGTTTGTTTTCTTGTTCATAAGTTTTTGTTGTGTTTTCATTCTGCATTAAAATAAAGTTGAATAACTTTGTTTCTTCCAGGTCTGTGTGATTTGTGTCCCAGTCTGGAGAAACAGCTGCTGGTGTTTCCAGGTCATAAATGTGGCAGCCTGCAGCTGGTTGTGAGTTCCCAACAGAACCAGATCACTTCTTTATGAACACACCGGTCTGTCGCGTTTAACTTAACACACACACACACACACTGTTGTCTTCTTCAGGACTTGTCCAACACCAAACCCGGAACGTCGTCTGCCCCGTTCACCATCAACGCCCACCAGAGTGAGATCGCCTGCGTGGCACTGAACCAGCCGGGCAGCGTGGCGGCTTCAGCCTCCCGCAAAGGAACGCTCATCCGTCTGTTCGACACCACGACCAGAGACAAGCTGGTGGAGCTGCGCAGAGGAACCGACCCGGCCACCCTCTACTGGTACGCCCCCTACTGGTCCAACTGGGTGTGCCCACTCCTTTCTTAAACATGGCTTTATTTCACTTAATAAAATATTATGTACTATATGTTTCATAACACTTTTTACATATAATAGAATAAATTACTGTTGATAAGCAAATGTACATCATTACACCGTGGCCAGTTTACGTACAAATAGTAAAAGACATAAAACAGAATGAAATAATAAAATAGAAGAACAAGAAGAAACTGAATCGATTGGAGTTATTTAAAATCTGCTTTGTTTCTTCTTCGCAGCATCAACTTCAGCCACGACTCGTCCTTCCTGTGCGCCTCCAGCGACAAAGGCACCGTTCACATCTTCGCACTCAAAGACACCAAACTCAACCGTCGCTCTGCGTAAGACAAACCTCCGCCTACACCGTCAGACTGTCGCTGAAGGGTTAATGGCTAACGCCGATCCCCTCTCTCCCTCCACAGACTGGCTCGCGTCGGGAAGGTGGGTCCTGTGATCGGTCAGTACGTGGACAGCCAGTGGTCGCTGGCCAGCTTCACCGTGCCGGCAGAGTGCGCCTGTATCTGCGCGTTCGGAAAGAACACGTCCAAGAACGTCAACTCCGTCATCGGTGAGGAAACCTGTCAAAACACACAAAGTTTTATATTTAATAAGAGCCTCAGTGCTTCGTATCAGCTGACATTTATTTTCAAGGGCGCCTCGGCAGTGCACAGGAGGTGAAACTGGCACCTCTCCAGCTACCAGTCCACACTCCATATTTTGTGGTCTGTGGGGCTTGAGCCGGCGACCCTCCGGTTCCCCAGCCAAGTCCCTACACACTGAGCTACTGCCGCCCCAAATACTCACTTTAATACTCACTCTTACTTGAGAGTTTACAGAATGCCCCCAACAGATTCAACATTCAAGCTTTGCACCACAGTGGAGCAGAGCTGCAACGATTAATCAATGAATCGATTAGTTGTCAACCAATAAATGAATCATCAATTAACCGTTTTCAGTCATTGTTAATCTTCTCTGATTTCAGCTTCTAGATTCTTTATTCAAATTCATTCAAATAAATTACATGTCATTTAAAATCCATTGGTACGTGATTTTTTGGTAAAAGTGACCTGATAACTGGCTAAAAGCAGCTAGTACAGTTAGCAGTGCAGCAGTGCAGCGGTAAGAGACTTCCTGTGTTACAAGAGAAAAGGTCCATGTTGCAACAATCCTTTGATACTTTGGTCCCAGACTAGAGTATTAGGGGGGAAGCCGTACTTAATTAACTCCAAAGATGCTGCTACAGACCTTTGTCTCTTATTTTGTTGTTTCTTTGCAGTCCTGAGAAATGTTGGCAAAAGTTCCAGTTGACACATCTCTTCCATTTGTCACTACTATTAATAAAACATAGTCAGTTCATCTGCATATTTTAATTATATATATATCAAGTAGTCACACAATCATTGGTTTTATAATCGCAGCCCTCTGAATCGTGAGGTTCTTCTTGAGATTCCCACCCGAACTCATCTTCTTCAAAACCGTTTGTTTTTACTGTTTCCACACTTCAGATGGCGGCGTTCCAATCACAGCGCTGTATGCCAACAAACAAATAGTTGTTTGTGTTCACATTGTTGATTCGCAGCACTCGACTCAGTGTTGCTTGTAAAGATTAACTGGTCTCTCCTCCTGCAGCCATATGTGTGGACGGGACCTTCCATAAGTACGTGTTCACCCCCCGACGGAAACTGCAACCGAGAAGCCTTCGACGTCTATCTGGACATATGTGATGATGATGACTTCTGAGGCCGGCTGAAGGTCATTAGCTGGAAGGAGAGAGCAGCGAGGACGAGGTGGAAACACGAGGATGACGAATGAAAATGACTGCGGTTAATGATTATTGTTGTGTTCTGGAGACAGATGGGAAGACGGCTGGAGACAGAGAATCAGAGACGTGTGGAGGAACAGACTTTATGCTGGGGCCTGTTTTATAAAGTCCTCTGTGTTTGTAATCAGTTCCTGTATGTAGCAGTGTGAATATGAGTCTGACTGGTTGATGTGAACACTTATAAATGCGCTTAAACCTGGGAGGAAAAGTGGTTTGCTGTATTTATGAGAGCTTACCAGTTTAAGTCAAACAGAAATTAAATTTGTTTTTCTTAAGAAATCAGAATTTGTTACTTGTTTACTTATTTGGTCAAAGTTTTAATAATCAAAAATAAGAAGTGTACATTTAAGTCCAGTGATGGAGTCCCAGTAGACACATAAAGTTATTGGACCTAATTTCCTGGAGATCCAAACCGTGTCGCCTGTATGACGTCTGTTGGTAGTTAGCATAAATGTTTACTCACAATGCTAGCAGAGAAAAAACAAGCAGCAACCTCCGTTTTAGCTACACCTAGTAACTTTCGGGAGTTTCGCTGGTTGCCTGGCAACTGCTCAGAGCCAAGAAATAGTTCGGCATGTAACTCTATCGATTGGCAAATTGTTGTTTATTTACATTTAATTGTCTCTACGGATTAAACAAACGCGATACGTTGTGAGAGCTTTAGAGTCGCTGGTAGGTGAATTTTGTAGCCTTTGGACTGAGCCAGGCTAGCTGTTATATTTAATGGATAAATATGAGAGTGGTCTAAACTAATGAAAGAAATCTGGAGGTTGTCAGTAGCAGACTAATATTGATAAGGGCGATAACGTACAACATAATATCATCAGCATAGAATGTTTTTTGAGCACACTGATTGGCTGTATGAAAAGCCTCGAACAGATCTACTATACGTTCTACAAAACATTGCTTCTTATGAAGCCAGTTAACATTGTCGTACAGCCTGACTGTCGCTGAAGGACGGGAATTTCCTTCAAAAGTGCACAGATTATTATTTTGTTCACATTTGACTGTGGGAGTCTTCACACCAGACACTGCACGACCTTTGGTGTGAACTTCTTTGGGCTGCAGATCAAGTAGTAAACCTAACACTCTCTCAGTGAGTCAAAACAGGGAGATGTTGCTTTCAAACCTTCCATCACCACCAGAGTTCACAGTAAGAAAATAATAATTAAAAAGTTTATTTTAAGTGATAAACGGCCTTGCAACTGAAAATGAACTTTTTCCACACTGCTAATTGTCTGACCTCGGTTTCACTGACTTAGCAGTAAAGTAAATGTTAAAATATTTGGTTAAAGAGCAGTTTGAAAAGATCAGATCAAGATATGAATGAAACTGTTATTACTGCACTGATTGCTTCATCAACTCCAAATGAATCATTTTGTAATTAGAGCCAGTTTAATGTCAAACAGAATTATTTAAAAGCTTCATTCATCAATTTTTTGTTTTACACTGCAATGGCTCCCAACTCTAGTTTTCTCTTAAATATTTAAACAGAAACTCTGATAAAGTTGCAGAATAACTTTGTCTCACCATTTTTCTCTGGCAGTTTATACATGCAAATCCACAGATTACGGACCTTTAATGGGAAGATTATAGAAGTTTTTTACTCTTGAATGTGTCTGTGTGTCCTCAGAAACCGGGCCGAGGCACTTTCAGCCGATGTGTAATCCAAAATCCACTAAAATGTCTGAGTCATAGGAAGGTTTGGCAGTGCAGCTGAAGATCTGTAGGTCAGTGGATGATGTGCAGCAAGTGTTGGGATCCTCTCCCTCGTCGTTTGCTCATTTAAAGCTCCATATATTCAGTCCTTCCAGGTAGTTTCCACACTTCCCAACAATTAACACAAATTCAACCAATCCCTGTAAATTCTGTGCAACCTTGTAATTTTGTCTAATTTCCACCACTTTTTTGCAAACTTTACCAATCATAGCAACTGAACTCCCCCTGCCTTTATTGGGGACAGGCCTTTATTTGGGACAGGCCTTTAATTCCTTTAGCACTAAACTAAACTAAACTCTAACTGCTGCTTCTCTTGAGATTTGTTCAGCAAATTTGACAACTAACATGATGATTATGATGCTTCAGAGGTTTTCTCCTTCTCTCTTGTTTACCATGTTACCGGTAAGTCAGAATGAATTAACGTTATACTTTGTTGTTTTTGTAAAATATAGTGAAAGATTGAATTGTGGAGAATCTATAACTGATCTAATGATGTGCAGCATGTACATATTGACAGAAGTTAAAACATATATATTAGTGTAGGAGATTGAAATGACTTAAAACTCGCTCAAGCAGGCGACCTGGTGGGTTTAAAGAGGTTTTATACATCAAGATAATTTCTATAAAATCCAGACCAGGCCTCTATTGGAGACCTGCGTTTATTTGTCAAAACGTGTAGCCACAGCAAGCTTTTGAGAGAGACCTGCGTCTATTAGGGACCCTGCTTTTATTGGAAGTTTTACGGTATGTTTGAGTCAGACCCTGAACAAGAAGGAGCTACCGAAGAAATTGTTCAATCTAGACAGGACGTTTCTGAATGGTTAGTTATGAGCTTTTTTTTTTAAATGTGTTTGTACGTTGGGTAAATACGGTCAACCGCTGTTGGTGTAACTCACTGCTTATAAAAATCTAGATTTCTGTTAATTGAGTAAACATACGTAGCTTATTGTAGTTAAACATCAGCATGCTATTCCCGTTACAAAAGTACATTTCCACAATGTTTTCTCGTTTTTTAATCTTGAGATCAACATGCGGCTGAAATCTCAGCTACACCGTAATACATCATTATTCAGTCCGACATCTACTATCCACAGCCATACTGGAGCCACTTTTCACTTATTAAATAGGTAATGTCTGTTTACCCGTTATTACTGCGTTTCAACATAATGCACTAATTCCAATTAATAACGTTACATCGGTGCATATGGTGACCTTTCGTTATTGCTAACAAAATATTCAAATAAAAAGCTCTAACTGATATCTTTTCCCTTTTTAAATGTATGTTCTGGTTTAGGTGTACTTGTGGGAATTGCACAACAATGTCTGCTGCAGGGAGATACCACAGGTAGTAACCACAGGTAGTGGATGCTTGTTGAATGAAAATGGAACTATTCAGTCATATTATCTCTCATCAAACGTCACTAACCCTTTTACAGGTTATAAGAAGACTACATCAACTTCAAAACCAACCTTCCTGCATGGTAGACCACCCTGGCCTCCAACCAGTGTGTTTAAATGTGTTCTCACTACAGAATGAACATCTACAGAGCGGACTGTGGGCCTTTACGTCAGAGGGGAATATAAACAGGAAGTTCCGTTTTGCATATAAATTGTTATTGTAATACAAATGAGTAATGAAATAAATAAATTCAATTTTCCACTTTGTTACATTGCTAACTTTTCTTTTTGAAAGGCAGTTGTTAAAATGTTAAATATCAAACACTAGAAAAGATACATTTCTGCACAATATCTAATTTGCAACAACACAATTTATTATTAATGTTTTAACCAACATGCTGCTAATAAATGGTGATACTGCAATTTAGATATTGTGCAGGAAATTATCTTTTGTACTTTTGGATACTCGTCCCACTCCTACCAACCTGTCTCTTGATGTCCATAATATCTGTCTATAAATCAAACACTGAAAGTTTTAATAGAATAGTTTTATTTTTAGAAATACAGCAAACAACACACAACTTGAAAAATTATTCAAAAAGTTATTGAATGTACAAACTGGTTTAAAGTTAAACAATAGGTAATATATATATTTACAACAAAAAAATGTGGGTCATCATAAATGATATTAAATATAAATGTAAATGTATAACTGAATATGTCCACTCTGTTCAGCTGTTACAGATACTATAGGAGCTTTGTGAGCTGGTGTTGGGGCTTTCTGAGCCGAAGAGTTTGTGTGGTTCTGTGTGGTTCTGCGTGGTTCTGCGTACACGGAGGTTCCCCGACGCTCAGGGCCTGTACGTGGGGTTGTTCTGGTCCGGTGTGTCGAACTGCACAGAGAGATCCTCTACGGTCCGGGGTCCCGAAAAACCTTCTCAAACAGCAGGTCCAAGATTTCATCCATATAATCTGCAATAAGGAAAAGTGAAATATTGTGTTTACTTTATCATGTTTATTTATTTGTATAAAAACAGAAAAAGCCAAAGACACTGGTTCATTTACATTTCACACATTTTATTTATTTTACAGATATTTTATAATGACTGTTTCAGTATAATTTTCAATAGAAAAATGTTAAACCTACTGAAGGTCGGTTCATTCACTGGCTCTGCTGGGCTTTCTCTCTTCTTCCACTTTGGGAAATGGAGCCTGAACAGCAGCTCACCAGCTGAGGTTGCTGCCTGTGGACGCTCTGCAGTATCACTGCAGTGCAGGGGGGCAGCTAAAGTCTTGGGAGGGAAAATAATAAAAAGCAAAATAAGATTGTGAACACATTGTACAAATATCCAGACAATGGTGATTTATTTCCAAATTAACAGCTTTATTTATAAAAACTTGAAGAATGCAGGACTCAAATTCAGTTCTCAACAGTTCCTCAGACAGTCCTAATAACACAAAAAGAGTCTTTCACATATATAGAACGTATATCAATTACAAAGTAAACCACCAAATGACTTTGAAATAAGATAGTAGAAATGATATAGCTTACAGTCTAAAGTGAATTAATAACAGGCAGGAACACATCAATAGTTATATCATACTCGCTTTCTAAAAGAAATTCACATTATATATAAAATGTATCTACATCCTCATATGCTATATTCCATTACTTTATTCAGAGTTCAGTATAAATATAATACCTTATCCAGCTTAAAGAAGTGCAGTGGACGGCTGCAGGTTCCCAGCAGGAGGCCGGCTGTTCCACTTCCTGTAGAACTCACAGTGTAGACAGCGTTGTTCCACAGAGAGGAACGTTCCCGACGGTCTGCTCCGTACGTCACATTCCCGCTGACACACAGGACACTCCTCAAACAGCTCCATCAGGCAGCTCTCATACACAGTGTGAGTCTTACAGACGGCGGGAGAAGATTTCAGTCTGCAACAAACACAAACATCAACAGGAGACGAGTCAAAGGTCGTCCTGGTAGAGACGATGAGGAGGAAGATCCAGTCACTCACGTCACGTCTGCTGACTCGCTCGAGGTGTCTGCAGGGTCGTCTGTACGATCATGTGGTTCTTCAGTGTCAACAGAACTGCCGTTTAAAAGGTTCTCCTCCTCCTCCTCCTCCTCCTCCTCCTCCTCCTCTCTCCTCCTCCTCGTTCTCCTCCTCCTCCTCCAAGCGACGTCTCTTACATTGGCTCTTTATCGATGTTGGAACCGGCCGTGATGCAGAGAATGCAACAGCCGAGGTGCCGACACCAACGTCAGTGCAAGAAACTGTATTCTGTGTGCCTGAACAACACACACACACACACACACACACACACACACACATTGTTTATCTTATTGTTTATAACAGGAGGAATCACCTGATGAACTAACTTTATATCACCTGTGCTTCTGAAATGAGGTTGGAGAGTCTTCATTCCGAGCTGCGTTCCCGTTGTGCGTGTTGTTGGCGGGTCCGTCTGGGACGCCACATGTTTCACCACGGCAATCACTCCAGATGTGCTCGCCTGAACACAAACAGCACTGAGGTTTTATTTTATTCATAAATGTAGGTCTGAGTGCAGCATGAACTCCAACAGTATTCTTCTACGCGCTGATAAAGATCCTTACACTAATTATTTGAGGGTCTGATAATTCTCCAGAAATGGGAAATCCTGCACAGAGTCAACTTCATACTGAGGAAAGAGCAGTGATATTTAATGTAACTCTCTAATGTCACTGAAGGACGCACAGATCGACCCAGTTAATAGGAATATATATATATATATATATATATATATATATATATATATATATATATGGTTTGACACAGTTACTCCATTACAGTTACATTACAGTTACCAGTCTCAGTCACTGACACATATAGAAGATATACTTTATTGATCCCTTAACAACTGTCTGCTGTTATTGTGCGACAGACACCATCAGACACTGTAAACCCCCCCACACTGACTGTCTGTCTCTGTGTGTTACAGTAATCATCTACCGGTAAACACAGAGCTGCAGACAGTTCCAGATGTTCCTCTGCTGATAAACTGAATGTGAATCTCTATAAAAGAAGAATAAAGGAACATCTGCACCACATCTGGTTTAAAATAACTTCACTTTATAAGTTTCATCTTCATCTTTTAACCCATTTAACAAACACAAGAACGAACTGAACTGAACACTACTCACGGTGTCCTCCCCTGCTGTCGGTCCACGGACGGTCGGTACCGCTCCCTCTTTCAGTAGCAGCTTTGCAGCCAGTCCGGCATTGTACTGACCCAGGTTCTGGAAGCAGTCCGACAGGAAGTGGTTGGCACACACAATCGGTTTCTTACCGACTGGAACCGGGACTTTCCCGTCGTATATAAAGTGGATCCACTGCAGTCGGAGCTCCTCTGAGGCTGGGAGAGTGTGTAAGGCTCGGTGCTGCAGCCTGCAGCCGACAACCGAGCAGTAGTGCTCTCTCATATTAGATTATATATAGAAATATATATATTATAATAGAATGCAGCTCTGTCGGTTGTAATGTGGAGCTGCTGCTGCTTCTTCTTCTCGTAGATTGGATTGGCGGCTGGCATCCAGTTTATATAGGTGCATTGCCGCCACCTACCGGACTGGAGTGTGGCACATTATTGACAGAGAGAAACTATATATATATATATACAAATTTTTTTTCTGAGTTTAGAACATTTGAAACAATAGAAACATTCATTCTTTATTGAGAGCTCGATTTAACGGAAACAAACAGAACCGGCTTGTTTAGTTCAATTAAATTATACTTTGATCTGGGTTGAAGACACTGGGAGATAGTCCTGTCTGTTAGTCATATAGATGGTATTATCATTAGATAGATAGATAGATAGATAGATAGATAGATAGATAGATAGATAGATAGATAGATAGATAGATAGATAGATAGACTTTATTAATCTCCGGAGGGAAATTGGGTTGTCATAGCAGCATACATTTATACAATAAAATACAATAGAAAAAAATACAACAATAGAATAAAATAATTTGATAGAAAAGGTTAAAGGTTGCAACATGCTAATGAAAACCCAAAAAAGACATCAGAAATTGGAAGAATCTGAAATTGCATGTTTTATCTCAGGTATTCTGACTGAGGCAGCCCACAGAAACATGACGTGTTGTTTTTTACACTGTGTCTGCTGATAGACATGTATATAAACAAACAATTCAAAAGTTGGTTTTGGATAATATGTCGCCTTTAAAACCAAGTCTCAACCTTCAAACACTATCTGAGGTACTGTGGACCAGCTAACCTGCACCTTCCACAAAGTTATGATGTTCTAATAATAAGATAATAATATAACTATTAACACAATTTCAACCAGTTGCAGTGAATTCTTTTGAAGTCCGCCGCACAAAACGTTGAACCATTCGTCACCAAACTACTAAAGATTTTATTTCAAAGGAACAAGTTGCCTTTGATTTTTAGAGAATTAGAATTATACAAACAAAAGCAACTATGTTTTTTGCCATTTTCACTTTATTCCTCAATGTTATTGTAAAGAAATACCTAAAAGCATATTTTAGAAAAACTGCAGTGAAATCAGACCCCCCCCCCAAAAAAAAGTCCTAGAGGCTTTTATTGAGACTATATTTCAGCTCTGCAATGAGCCCTTCACAAGATGGAATAAACACAGCACACCTGAAGCATCCACCACTGTCCTCCCATAATAAAGGTACACCTGGGAGCATGTGATGCATGCATGGCAGATCACATTTTCAGAAACTCATTACCAGCTGTGGACAAATCTGTTTGTTTATGTGCGAACGAATGTACCATGAAGATCAAGTTTTATCTTACTTTTCCCATTAGCTCAAAAGGGAATTGAACTTTGGAAAATAAAAGTTGACTCATCAGGTCGGAGGAGTGTATGAGTGGTTCTTTATGAGAGGATTATCTTTTACTTGAAGGGATAGTTTGGGTTTTTTGAAATGGGGTTATATGAGGTAGTGATCAGTAGATGGCGAGGTCCCAGTTTGGAAGCTAATTAGTTCAATGCGGTTGATGAAGGCGGCAACAAAACTATTTTAGCCACGAAAAAAAAATCTGTTTGAGTGTACGCCATGTCTAGAGCAGTTTCACTGCTTTATCTCGCCTTCAGACAGATGATTCGTGACAGGAAACCTAAGCTGTTATATCCATTTGTGCTCTCTTCATAGCGTCCAGACTTTACCTGTCTGCAGCTGCCTCAACTGGTCAGCCTGTTTGTGTTATTGTGTGTCAGGTTTATTGCCTTCAAGAGACAGAGACAGCTGAAGAGTGGCAGGAAACGGGGGGAGAGAGAGAGAGAGAGAGAGAGAGAGAGAGAGAGTTGAGTATGACACGCAGCAAAGGGCCACAGGTCGGAGTCGAACCCACGGTGGCTGCAGTACGAACTCTGCCTCACACTGGGCACCAGGTGAGCTCTCCGGGAACCCCGACTTTAAAGGCTTCCCATCGGAAAGGGCAACAACACAAAAGTTCCTTGTAGAGGCTTTAAGTTTAATACTCGAGTACTGATGTTACGTTCCTATAGAAACAATAACAGCTGATTTGACCTTAAACTACTTTAAGTTCCTGTTGTACAAACTGCGTTGTTATTCCCCAGCTGATGTTGCTTTCTGCCAACGTTCCTCCGGCTGTAGCAGCCCATTATTTCCTCCTTTGTTGTTGATTTGTCCTGACTGCCCTGAACCTTTCGTACCTGCAGTTGTGCAATAGATCCCACGGTGACATTTGAAACAGCGACCCGTCCCTGCCCTCATATTTACTGCCATATATCCGAGTAGCTTTCTCTGTTAACAGCGGTTTACATTAGGCTTTTACAGCCTCTTGTCATTTGTGCAAGTGGGATGATGTTGAAATGTCAGCGATGATGAGTCACTCGTTTTCAACACAAACCCCAAAAATGCACTTTTAATAAGTTGTGTGGCCTCAGCTGTCAGGCTGAAATAAATATCTGCTTTACAACTGGAGTGTGTGTGGATGAGGGCAGATACAACACTGTGAATATGACACTCTACCTTTTACATATAATCTTCAATATGATGTTTCATGTGCCTTTATTAGCTCTTTACTACGAGCCTTTCTGTCCCTGTACGACACAACCAGAGTCCATTTCATCCTTAAAGACACATTACTGATGTGTCTGAAACCAGACTGAGAGTCAGTGATTAAAGCAGCTGTGTTTCACCCGATAGAGCCCAAAGACTGTATTCAGTGTGATATATTCTGATTGGTCTGAAGTAGCTAATGCTGCGTTCAGTCATTGGTGTGAGAAGATTACAAAGTCCACCTCAACCAACTACTGCTAATGAATGCATCAGAATAATCTAATGATATCAAATATAATAGGACAACAGTCAATCACTTTAACAACCTTTTTGAATTCAATTTAAGACTTATTGTATGTCATAAACAAAGTACTAAGCATATGAAGGAAATCAGTTTTGGATCCATATTTTTTTATATTGCTCTTTAAAGTAAAAACAATGTTTTTTCTTCAGCGTGGCTAAAATACAGTTTCTTAAATACTTTTTTTTTTTTTACAGAGAGACATAAAGAGCGTGTCGGTCCATCGCTGGAGCTTTTTTGCTGCCCAGTCGGCCTTTTCCCTCCTCATATAGTCCGATATCCTGCAGAGCGCCACAATAATGAACATTAATGCGCACACACACAGAATAAGAACCCAGCTCATACAGCCTGGCTCCTGTTCACGTCATTCATTTCTTTGTCTTTAAGAAGACAATAAACAGAGAAAAAGCATTTTAATAAGAACAGGATAGAACAGAAGCTCCTGGTGTTTAACATCATTACCACATGTTTAAAGGTTGATTCCAGATGTTTTATGACCACAATCTGACATCTGCTGTCTGATATGTCTAAAGGGAACAAGGAGCTTGATTTTATACAAATAAATATATATATATGTATATGTAGAGAGAGAGAGAGAGAGAGAGAGAGAGAGAGAGAGAGAGAGAGAGAGGATCTTTAGGTTTGTTGATCTCTAATCACTTTTGATCAATCTGGATACGTTTTAGATATTTTGCTGAGTTGCTCTTTCGCCATTTATACTTGAGAGCAGCCAATCCAGGTACTTTGTGTCAAGCTCCGCCCACTTTTGGGTGAAAACAGTTCCTCTAATTTGACTGGCAGTAAATGTAAACTCAGAGGTATTTGCCAGTTTAATGACATTAGATAAGAATACTGTATTGCTTTTTAGCTGTTAGGAGCATAAATCAAGAAAAATTAAGAAATAGTTATTGATGAGTGTCCTGACATATAGCCTACAACTACCTTAATGAATCACATATTTCTGCCGTCTGTCACTGTTTCTGTCGTTCAGTCGTTTTATCTCCACTTCCTGTTACTTTCTCCTGTTTCCAAGGTTCATTATTAGAAGGTCGGTCAGCTCAGTTTATGGGAATTATTAAGGTTCAAATCCCCTCTGCTCCACACTGTCACACCAAACTCCATTCAAAAAACGGCTGTTTTAAGGAAGTAAAACCTTTATTTCCACCATCAGTAAGACTCTGATTCTCTTCAATCTACAGACACAATCTGCTCACATTGACTCAGTAACATCATTAACTAACCTGTGAGGAAGAGTTGGACACAGACACACTCACTGACTGTCTGTCATTAACTAACCTGTGAGGAAGAGTTGGACACAGACACACTCACTGACTGTCTGTCATTAACTAACCTGTGAGGAAGAGTTGGACACAGACACACTCACTGACTGTCTGTCATTAACTAACCTGTGAGGAAGAGTTGGACACACACACACTCACTGACTGTCTGTCATTAACTAACCTGTGAGGAAGAGTTGGACACAGACACACTCACTGACTGTCTGTCATTAACTAACCTGTGAGGAAGAGTTGGACACAGACACACTCACTGACTGTCTGTCATTAACTAACCTGTGAGGAAGAGTTGGACACACACACACACTCACTGACTGTCTGTCATTAACTAACCTGTGAGGAAGAGTTGGACACAGACACACTCACTGACTGTCTGTCATTAACTAACCTGTGAGGAAGAGTTGGACACACACACACTCACTGACTGTCTGTCATTAACTAACCTGTGAGGAAGAGTTGGACACAGACACACTCACTGACTGTCTGTCATTAACTAACCTGTGAGGAAGAGTTGGACACACACACACTCACTGACTCTTTGGGGAAGTAAAGACGTCGTTTCTCATCTGTAATCCTTTTTCAGGTTTATTATGTCTCTCTCTTTGTTGTTTGTTGTGTTGTGGTTGTTGTTGTGGTTGTTGTTGTTGTTGTTGTTGGTCAAAATGAATGAGGTTCTATAACACACTGTACGTTCCTGAATATGATATGGATAATCTGAAAGGATTATTATTACTGTATCGATGTCATTTTATATATAAATCTTAAAGCATTACTTTACATTTTATAATGAATGTTTGCAGCCTTATTCTGCTTTCTGTTGTTGTCTTCTGAACATTCCTACAAATAAACAATGTTGTATCTTATAATAATTGTCAACTAACGTCTTAAACAAATATCTAAACAAACTAAAAGCAACCTTTATTACAAGGAAGAGCTCAGAAACTTCAGTAAATGTGTGAATAACCATCGACTACCTGTTTGCTTCAGAATCTTTAAAATCCTTTTATTGGTTCATAAAACTCTAAATGCTCTCAGTCCTGCTTATTTATTTATTTATTTATTTATTTATAATCAATCTATTGAGTTTTATTATTTATTATTATAGCTTTAATATGTTGCTGCCTCATGAAGTCTGATTGACTGATTGACTGATAATAAGTAAACTGTAGTTATTATAAGTGATGTCATTAGATTATTCGGACTGATGCGTTAATGGAACAGCAGGATTTTACTGTTGTTGTTCGTTGTTCTTACAGTCTTTAGTTTTCAATGTCTGTACTGAAGTATTTATATCAAATTCTTCTGGTTCTTTCCTGTTAACTATTGTTGGTATCAGCTAGTTTCCCAGTAAATATCAGGGGATTAGCAGTTGTTGTATAATAAAGAGCAAAAAGTTCAAGATTTCCTCAGAAAAGACAAAGAAAAAGTAGAGTGAGGGAATAATCTCATACCTTCAGAATAAAGTGTATGATTATAGATAATGCAGATGCTTTTACTGTGAAAGCGTGGCTGTGGTCTCTCTGCAGTCTCATTATGAGTCCGTCAGTCACTGCAGAGCTTCATTTCCGTTCCACGCTGATTATTCTGTCAGACAGACGCAGATGTTTCCCTCAGAGTCAGGTTGATTCCTCGAGACAGGAAGTGAACTCAAAACCTTCCTCTTCAGTCTGGACTCTAACTGCTTTTAGACATTTACTCAGTTATATTCTAGTGTTTTCTATTGCAGAATGTCATTGTTCATTATTTATTATGTTATTTTAACTACTTCTTTACATAATATATTTAATATTTGTTTATTTCTGCCTGCTGGCGGGTCATAAGTAGACATTGATATAATAGAACTTATGAAGTTATATTTAGTTTCTATTTCGCTTTAATTAATCACTGTTGTAAAAACTGTAAAATGTATTTTAATTTTATTGTCAGTTTTATTGTCTGTTCTGTATTATTATGTAAATCATCTGTGAGCTGCACTAAACTGTATGAAAGGTGCTGTACAAATAAAGTTTGATTGATTGATTGATTGATTATTTCTGATCAGCTGGCGCCCTCTGCTGGTCAGCAATCTACACTTTTCTTCTTTGGTTTCCATCAGTGATATTCAACATCAACAACAACATGACACATTTTGTTTGTAAAAGGCTCGAACCGTGCCAAAACATTTAAAATATGCAACAAAAGCAAATTTTGCCTTCAAACAACACAACTTGTAAACAAGTGTATGAGCTCTTCCAATCAACCATTACACAGTGGACAAGAAAACTGCAAACCACTCATTGACAAAGCGAGAGTGGTGGAACGTCACATTGACCCAGATAATGACGAAGAGTGGCATGCCAGGCCTCAACAGCCCTCTCTCCTCAGGTGGGATCAGTCTGACATGAAGTGCATTCAGGAATGTTATGAGGCACTCGGTGTAGTAGTAATATTGGGGATATGGCATAGGACACCATCACTGGAGATGGCAGCACACATGGTTATGTTGGCGCCCGTCTGTCCTGGAACTGTGATAGTGTCCCTGTACCCAATGAGGTTCCTTCCACGTCTCCTCACTTTACAGAGATTGAAGCCGGCTTCATCAACATAAATGAAGACAGCTTCAAGCTCCATTATTCTCTGAGTAAAAAAAGGTAAAATGACAATGAACAGTGACTCCAGTTGACTCTAACTGCATGATATGACGAGGCATAATGTTTCCTTACCTCCACATATTGGCATCTGGCCTCCTTCACAACGTCAGAGTTCCTTTGAAATGGAACTGTACAGAGCTGCTTCATGGCCATATGGTTCCTTCTTAGGATGCGGTCAATGGTGGTCACGCTCACGTTGTTGATGTTCCTAAACATGCCCAGATCTGGGATCAGTGCTGCCCTGATTTCACGCAGCCTTATGGCATTGTTTGCCACAACCATGTTCACAACAGCTGCCTCCTGCTCAGCACTAACAATTCTTCCTCTACCACCAGAGAACGGTAGCCTTTGGATTCTATAAAGAATACATGTAATGGGAATGAGGAAACAATTACACAAAGTATATCACTGAAGATATTTCTGTATACACTGTACAGCAACATTACCTGTTTCTGTCCAAAGATTCTGACAATGGATGCGACAGTGTTTCTGTTTAGAACAGGTTAGGGTTAACTAAACCTCCCCCCCCCTCTGACCCCCCCCCCCCCTCCTCCCCTTCCTCTTCTCCTTCTCTTCTTTCTCTCTTCTCTTCCTTTTACTTTATAAAAAAAAAAAAAAAAACCTTTTACAGTTTTTTCCAATTGCTAAAACACAATTTTGCAGACTAGGCTGATTTTATCAAAATACTGAACACAATTCACAAAACCACAGAATACCTCATATATCCAGTAACATGAAGCACTGCAACCAGAACTACATATATAATATATAATATATATATATAATATAACATTATAAATGGCACACACTTCATTCATATCACCAGATTTTTGTCTAACCAACTACACACTCTTGGGCAGAATGAAAAGCAATTTCATCTTTAGTTTGCTTTAATACTAAAATAGTTCCAATTGTAGAAAATTCTTCAGATTGTTCACATGCACAGAAATATCTGCAGATACACACACACACACACACACACACACACACACACACACACACACACACACACGCTGTTGAAACATTTATTTTTTTGTTTAGTTTTTTAAGTCAGTGCAACATCTTCACAGCAGATATATTTACATTGGAGTGAACAAAATAATTCTCACAAAAAACTAAAACTGAAAAAGAAAATTGCAGAAAAAATATATAGAAAAAAAAGACCTGTGGTGTTTTTCTAGTGCTTCCTACCTGATTGAAGGTAACAATGAACCATTGAGGTGTTTGGTCAGGTGATATATCATATATTCATATTCATCATATATTGGCCAATCAGCTCATGTAGTGTCATTTTGAATGTGAACATGTGACTTTCTGTCAGATTGTTGTTATGCAGAGAGCCATCAGAGCATTTAAAAAGTAAAGTAAAGCAGAAAATGTGTTTAGAGTTTTGGAGACTTGAGAAGAGGTTCTGCTCTCTGTGTGACACTTTAAATTATTGTGCTGGGTTATTTTAGTGAGTGAGCAACTGGAGACAACTGGAAAAGACACGAATGCTGAATGTCATATTAAAGGCAAACACACACACACACACACACACACACACACACACACACACACACACACACACCTTTTCCTATAGCTTAGTCCCTTTTTAGTTAGATTGTATATTGTGTGTTTCATCTGTGTGTGTGTGTGTGTGTGTGTGTGTGTGTGTGTGTGTGTGGGTGCCACCATATGTTTCAACAAAGAATGAAACACGTGTTGGTGAGAGACAAAGGAATCATGTTGAGAGTGCCAGGGTTCACTTTCCTCTCCTTGTGTGTGTGCTGAGCTTTAGGCTGAATTTGGGTTTGTGTGTGTGATCTTACATTAACGGTGCTGAGTTAAAAGGAAGTTAGAGCCATGCAAGCGTAACATTAACTAACATCACCTGAGCAGTGTCTCAAAGACTACAGTTATAATCTGCATCAATCATATCAACATCATGATGCTGTACCATCCTTACTGCCTGCTTCCAGTAGGGGGCGCTATGACTATGACTGAGTATTGTAACGTAGACGTGTTCAGGGCGGGACTCTTATCAAACGTGAAGTTTTGTTGAGATTGAACCATGTACACTGAGGTTATGATAACTTCCTGTTACATGGTCATATATGGAGATATGAAGACAAGCCACAGAGTCACAGTTCAACTCAGAGTCACAGTTCAACTCAGGGTCACAAACAGGTGGTGAAAGGAGGAGATTATCAGAAGTTATTGAAGTATTAAAAGTTGTGCTGTTTTATTGGTGATTTGAAGTGACACTGTTTCTCTGAAATCATGTGACCACAAAATCCCCAGAAGCAGCTCTAAATGAAATTCACTTTACACCAGATTGAGTCCATATTGAAACTCACTGCAGTCTGTGAAGTCAGTCAGCTTCCTGTCTCTGAGACTGTTTCTGTTTCATGTGACCACAGAGCGTCCACCCTCTCTGCTGATATAAAACCGCTCTCTGCTCTTTCTTCTTCCTTTCCTCCTCGTCATCAGAGAGCTTCCTGAAGCAACAGCAGGTAAGAGAACAAATAAATACTTAATATGAGGAGTTATCACCAGATTATTGAAGCAAAAATGTATTTGACATAACTAATAACTGATCATGCTGCCTTACATTCATGTGATTCATCCATATCTTATTATTATATTAATATCAATATATTAATATATTAATTAATTATATTGGTGCAGTTTTTAGACTTTAGGGAATGGAGCAGATCTAATTTGTTCGGTAAACTTTAAAGAAGTTCTCAATGAAACATTATAAAAGTTTGAGGTTTTCTTTAACAACATTTCGCGCTGTGGCGTCGAAAATCAACATCTTGCTATGAAACAGGAAGTCGTTGAAACTTGAATGTACTTCATCCAAACTGCTGTAAACTTCATGTTTGATAAAAGTTTTAATTGTTTTATCGTTTCAAATATTCCAGTTCTTGATGTCTGATTCTATAATTTATTCTTTCCATTTCTGAAATGCTGTTTACATTTGACCTTCAGTTGTTAGATGAGGGGGGGTTGTACTGACTTGTTTTTCTTTCTTCCAGAGAACTAGTAAACTGCTCCATCCTGAAGCTGCTGTGAAGCTGTTACCATGGCAACGTGAGTAACATTTCTACCACAGTATCATATAAGGGATAATCAGTGGTGGACTGGTGTCTGGAGAAAGGGGTATAATCCGTGTATCATTTGTTCTTTTCATATTCAATTGAGATTCCAAAATCGAAAAATGAAAAACCGGTTTGTTATTTCCTTATTAGTTTATGAATCTGATACCAAAAAACAAATAACGGTTCATTTTTTGTACTTTCGATTTATTGCTCAGATCAAACATAGGAAATGAAATAACGGGCCACGGATTGTACAAAAATGTAAGATTTTTCGATTTTGGTGTTTTATAAACAGTAACATATAAGATTACTGTAGCATATTTAACTATAAAGGGCTCAGTAATATTCACACATTGTTACTGAACTTCTGCTGTTTGACTATAATATGTTCTATACAAGAAGATATACATACAATAGATAATATCTTATAAATTGTTATATAATAATAATAATTTAATCATAAGAATTCTTGGTGTCTGTGGTATAAAGACACTGAACTGCTTTACTGTGAGACTAAAAGGGTTTTATTAAGACAGCAAGTAGGGTGATTTTATGTATTTCATTCTATGTTCAGTGAGTTTTGAACTTGTGTCTTTACTTTTCTACAGGAACAGCTCGTCCAAATATAATGACATCATCTCTAAAATTGGTCTGATCCAATCAGGATCTCCCGCTGTCTACCAGCTGACACCAAAGAAAGAGAAGATTGGAACTCTAACAAGAATGACTCTTGGTGAAAAAGATCTGAACAAGACAAACAGAACCATTTTACTTGTTGGTGAAACAGGAACAGGAAAATCTACTCTGATCAACGCTCTGGTCAACTACACCATGGGAGTGAAGTGGGAGGACGATGTCTGGTTTCAGATCGTAGAGGAGGAGAAGAGAAGTCAGTCAGAGAGTCAGACATCAGATGTGATCGTTTATCAGATCTTTGGTTTTGAAGATAAAACTCTGCCCTACTCTCTGACCATCATCGATACTCCTGGATACGGAGATACCAGAGGGATTGAAGAAGATGACATCATCAATAAAAGATTATTGGACTTGTTCCGCTCAGAGGACGGAGTCCATGAGATCAATGCAGTGGGTCTGGTACTGAAAGCAACTGAGAATCGACTCAGTGACAGAGTGAGGTACATCTTTGATTCAGTGATGTCTCTGTTTGGAAAAGATATGGAGAAGAACATTGTTGCCCTCATCACTCACTCAGATGGTCTGACACCTGGAAATGTTCTTCAAGCTCTAGAAGATGCAAACATTAAATATGCCAAGAATGAGGACAAAAAGCCGGGTTACTTCCTGTTCAACAACCACCAGAACAAACAGAAAACAAAGAGCAACACAGCTTTTTTAAAAAGTGCATGGAGCTTAACAACGGACGGAATGAGTCAATTCACTGACTTCCTGAAAGAAACTGAACCTCAGAAGCTGAAAGAAACTGTTGAAGTGTTGAATGAACGAATCAGACTGACAGCCTGCATCCAAAACCTGAAAGAGAGAGTTGAGTTTATTGAACTAAAACAGAAAGAAATCCAACAGACTGAGGAAGCTCTGAAGAAATATGAACAAGAGATGAAGAACAATGAGAAGTTCACTGTAGAAGTTGATGAGGTCTACAAAGGTGAACAATCTATTGATGGTGGGATGTGGGGGTTGGTGTTTTATCAAGGAGCTGTCTGCTGTAAAGTCTGTGAAGAGAACTGTCACTATCCTGGATGTACAAAGGCCTGGAAACCAGGACACTGTGTGGTCATGAAAGATGGTCGCTGCACTGTTTGTACCAGGAAGTGTCCTGTATCAGCTCATGTGAAAGAAAAGTGGATCTATGTGAACAAGATAAGAAAAGTTCAGAAGACCTCAGAAGAAGTGAAAGAGAAGTATGAAAAGAACAAGACAGAAAGAGAGAGCAGTTTGAGCATTTTGGAAAATCTTCAGAAGGAAACAGAAGAACTTCAGAAAGATAAAGATCAGTGGTTGGAAGAGTCCTTCCAGCAGGTTCTCAAACTGGAGCAGATCGCCCTGAATACTGATTCACTGTCCACTCTTGTCCACTTGGACTTCCTGATTGAGAAGATGAAGGAGAAAGGAGACACAGAGAAGGTCCAGAAACTGGAAGAGATGAAAAGACGAGTGGATGAAGATAAAGGAGTCCTGGCAGCGCTGAGTTACGGGTTCAGTAAACTAACAGCTGGTAAAGAGCTGATGAAGTAAGTTCCAGCGTCACTGTGAGCTCTCAGTATGATGTCGTCCAGTACAACACTGCAGACTACAACCTTAATAATAATCATATATTTACATTAATGCTCTCTGACAGTGTCAGTCAAACCTGAACATTATTGATCTGTTAATGTAGAATTTATGTCTGAGCTGTTGTATTGGACTGCATTAGATTTTACAGCTGTTCCTAATAAAGTACCACTGAGTGCATATCTGCTAATTAATATATGATAGTGTGTTATTAACCATTTATTACTGCTGCTGTTACTGCTTTATTCATCAGCCTCTAATGTACCAATAATTGTGTGTGTGTGTGTGTGTGTGTGTGTGTGTGTGTGTGTGTGTGTGTGTGTTTTACTTCCTGTTCTCTCTAAAAGTGACACCTTCACAATGCACAGTCCAAAATTATTACAAATACATTTAAATTATTACAATTATTTAAATTATTACAGTTATTTAAAGGACAAGCAGCAAATTGGAGCCAAGCTGGAACCATGAAATGTTTTATTTTTTATTGAGCACTAATAATACAGGATATGTACATAGATACAACATTCACAAAAGAACTGCTAATATCATTATTTTGTATGAATTATTCTTCTGCGTGCAAGCAGTGTTGTAAAAGCAATGATGTTTTTATATCTTTTCCTTATTGTAGAATAAACAGCTTACATCTGTGTTAGGGTTTATTTATAAGTCTGGCTTTGGAGTAGTGGATGCAATGTAAGATCTGAAATTGTATTATACTTAATTTGGCACATGAAGTGCGGTCATTCACTCTTAGTAGAGCGCTTTCCCAAATGTCTTCTTCTGGGTCCTCTCCCAGCTCATCCACCCAGTCTACCTTGATCTTTGCAAGAGTTGTATTTTTAAAAGAAGATATACAGTTATTGATTCTTGAAATAAGTCCTTTAAAGCTGAAAGTAGTTTCTAACAGAGCATCTAAACCAGAAAGTGATGGTATGTAGTTGGGATCATGATACTGAGGAAGTGGTGGACTTGGAAATATCGAAACAGGCTAGACCGAGGGAGGCCAAATTTATGTGACAAGTCATCAAAGCTAGGGAAAATATTGTTTATATACATATCTTTAAATTTATAAATGCCTTGTCTTTGCCAGAGAGTAAATTCAGAGTCTAATCTAGCTGGGAGGAAAAGATGAGAGATGGAGGTGATTATTGAACCTGAAGCTACGTCTAAGTTGAAACCATATTTTGAGGGGTATTTATGACTACTGGATTGTTGGTGTATTTACAGCAGGGGTCACCAACACGGTGCCCACGGGCACCAGGTCGCCCCCAAGGACCACATGAGTAACCCGCAGGCCTATTCTAAAAATTAAAATATAATATTGATATTATCTTGTTAAGTCATTGTTGATAATTATTATGAGAAATCATTAACATGATCAGTGTCTTCACATAGATGAGTATCATTAATATAATAATGAATTAATTTCCTGTCAATCAATGAACTGTCTGATAGTTTCAGCTGTACTTGTTTATTTTCATATGTTTAGTGTAAAAATATGAGTTTGTAAAGTAAGTGAAGCTTTTCTCTGCCATGTAAACAACTGGGACACAGCTAACAGCTCTGCCTTTAAATGGAGTGAGGACGCCCCCTGGTGGTTAATGTGGGGTACAACAGCTCCCTCCCTCCCCTATATCACAGACTAAACACAGTGGGGTCCTGTTGTTTTCTGCTTTCTGAGGGATATTCCTCTTATTATCATGTGTTCTTCAGTATGATTATGCTTTTGCTGCTATGAATAGATGTGTCTGATATATCCACCATGATATCACAATGTTTAAGCTGTTGGGAAACTAAATCCAAGTCAACTCATTATAAAGGAGTTGATCCTGGAGGGGGTTGATACTGTACCTCTTCCTGTGTCTTCTGTCAGCGGGATGTTTGTGTGGAGCACTTTAAGGAGGAGAAAGGAAGAGAAGAAAGGTCCAATAACACGTGCAGTGAACTCATGAACATCCTGTTGTTGGCTCCAGTTAATGTGTGTTATCTCAAAGTGCTCCAAGAACTGAGGACAGACTGCCTCTCCTCACTCACATCTGTGTAATGCTGATGATGGCTCTGGCTTGCAACCAATAAAGATCCACTGAGAATCTGAACATTGTGTCAGCTGCTAGTTTTCACTTTACACCACATTTTCTTTACTTTCTCTGAGTATTTAAGCTTTTTCTAAAGTGCTTTTCAGTCAGTACGAGGTTGAGATTTATTGTTGAAGTCTCAGTAAACGTCTCACTGAAGAAGAATTATCGATGTATCCTATAAGACAACAGAACAATTTAATGGAAATAAAATGGAAACCAGTATTTTATTTATATTTCTTATACGCTGATATATTCAGTGGTTATTTCTCTGGAACGATACTGAAACTGTAATAATGTAATAATACAACACATTTATTATTTATTTAACAACTTAATCTTTAATAAAACAAACTCTGTACAGCAAACAACAATTATAATTCATTTAACTTCTTACTGTTTCCTTCAGAGCCGTCACATAATAAACACTTTATGATGCATTATATTGTTGTTATGAGCAGATTGAAGGACGATAATAAACATTAATACATCAGCTAACATTATATTCTCTATATACGAGTCACATGGTGTCTCTCTCCCTCTGCCTGTGTTGTATCGCAGCCTCTCTGTGGTTTGTTTCCATAGCCGGTCTGCTCCGACTGAAACTGCTGTTTTTATCATCTACGTCGGTGAATTAAGGATTTATTTCCACCAAACCAGAGTTGGTGATTGTTGGAAACACTAACAGAGACGCTTTATTTCAGGATGAATCCACTTCCACTGGTTGGAGGGGGGTCACTGGGGGGGGCACCGGGGGCCGAACATCTCCATCGTCTCCATAACGAGCGACAGATGATCCAGAAACGAGTTCACAGACACTCTGAGGATCCGGGCTTCGTCTGCGCTCCACCTCCTGAAACACACGAAGAAGAAGAAGAGGTTCAGCAGAGGATATCAGTGGGGGGGGCAGTTGGAGGGAGGAGGTGTGGAGCTGCGTTTCCTCACACGGACAGCGTGCTGTCGGACACCGTCAGCTGTTTGCTGATTCCGCCTTTCCTCGGCTCTCGGTCCGGCGACAGAGAGCGCAGAGCGATG